TACTCACTTTGGTTTCTGCAATTGTTATAGCTAGAATGGATACAGCTATGTCAAAATGGCATTGCACTTGTGTAGGTTTGAAACATCATTAGGAGTTGGAACTTAGAAAGTGTTTAGAATCATTCAGCTTTGTTCGCACATATTATAAGAGTTGACATATTAATAGAGACTCACTGATTTCCTTTTACTTTAATTTAGGGATAAGCAAATTATCCTTGCTTTGGGTGGCTTAATTATCAGTAAGAGGCAACTAATAAGAATATGAAGGACATATGGGCTTTTCTGCCATCGATGCACCAACCTGTGACATGTAATTAATTTCATAGTTGATCAATTACAAGGTCCTGGAAGGCATCTTGGCTATAGATGCCAGACTGGAGACATTCCAAGACCAATGGCACCTCTGCAGACTATTGTTGCCTGTTATCTAAAGAGGTATGTTGCTGAATTGGATCCACCCACATTTGAACTCTTCCTCAGCTTCTGTACTAGTTCTAATCATAGACTGTATAAAGAAATGGACGTAGTATCCATCACCTGTAGGGTTCTGAAGATCGTTTTTGAAGCCTAAAGTGGTCGTAGCCGACCGTCGCTATCTTGGCAGCGCGTCACTCCCCGATAAACTAAAATGGTCAAAGAGGCGGTACGTGGATGGAGCTGAGGAGCCTGGATGCTGTTTACTGAGTAATTATAGGCTAATTTCTTACACATATCTTTGAGGACATGTCAAAAAATACCAAATATAGTCGGTGTTAATAAATGTTACGCTATTTATGAAAATGCAGGCATCCGGTAATGCGGGAATCCGCTGGACACACCCTTAATTATGCAGAACTTTAAATATTAATCAACTAAACGGATGAGTTATAAAAAAAATCACCCCCCTCACAGTTGTTATGAAGGGCAAAAGTTGCTGTATAGACCAAAGCCAAATAGAGAACCAGGCTGTAAACATGTTTTTTTTCTGCTGTAAAGTTGTTCATTTTAACACGGGGGAGATACAGATTTGAGGCGGTACGTGGATGGAGCTGAGGAGCCTGGATGCTGTGTACTGAGTAATTATAGGCTAATTTCTTACACATATCTTTGAGGACATGTCAAAAAATACCAAATATAGTCGGTGTTAATAAATGTTACGCTATTTATGAAAATGCAGGCATCCGGTAATGCGGGAATCCGCTGGACACACCCTTAATTATGCAGAACTTTAAATATGAATCAACTAAACGGATGAGTTATAAAAAACATCACCCCCCTCACAGTTGTTATGAAGGGCAAAAGTTGCTGTATAGACCAAAGCCAAATAGAGAACCAGGCTGTAAACATGTTTTTTTCTGCTGTAAAGTTGTTCATTTTAACATGGGGGAGATACAGATTTGACTCACTTCTGCAGCCAGCCTCAAGCGGACAGTCAATAAATTGCAGTTTAACTCACTTCCTTATTGGTTTCAGGAGAGAGACCGGAAGGTTGCCACTTGGTTCTAATCTGCTAGAAAATTTTATAAAGGTTGAGTTAATTGAAACCTCAGACTTTGAGCGAAGACCTCAAGCTCAAACATGTGGCTGTCTGCAGAAGTTGCCGCAGGAGTACCAGAACAATCCTGACTAGCGCAGTGATTTCAATGCAATTTTGAAGAGCTGGAAATCATCTAGGCCTGAAGTTACCAGAGTACAAAAAGTAGTATACTTACTTCAAACACTATACTTTCTTCACATGTACCATGAACCATTTTCATGTTTAAACAACTAAATTATTAATTTACTCTATGTAATCAATGTCTTAACGAGTCTGGTATTTATATTTGTACACAGTAAGTGTCTCTTTGTTCCAAGTAAAACCCACGATCCACCCACAAACAGAAAAAATATATTTACACCAGCATGCCTACATACCCTACTTCCCACACACATTAGACTTAATGCACACAATGGTCTCTGGTTCATAATCTTCTTGATAGTGGCCAATAACAAAAGTCAGGGGTAGTGTGATGGAAATTCCTACATGAGTATTAAATAAGCTACTAAGATAGGGTGGAAATGTAATTTCCTTAATATTCCTAATACAACTAATTATCCAACTCCTCAACTTGTTTTGCTCTATCTTTTGGTGGTAAAGAATATTGGACTTCACGGCTATTGCTAATCCATTTTGTGAGTCTAAAGATCCTGGACAAGAGTGATTTCTTTGGGTATAGATGAGACTGATTTTAAGAGATCATCAACATAAAAGTTCCTTTTCATTGTGTCAAAAGCAATGTCGCTGTACTTTCCTTTGTTGTCATCAGCTGTCTTTTTTAGTGCAAAGCTAGCACAGCTGGAAGAGGTCACCGCTCCAAACAGATGAACGGTCATCCGATATTCTGCCATTGGTTGAGCGATGTCTCCATCGGGCCACCAGTGAAACCGCAGGAAGTCTACATCCTCCTTCGGCACCCTAACTTGGTGGAACATTCCCTCTATATCTGCCATTACAGCTATTGAATCCTAACGAAATCTTAACAGAACCCCGAGTAAGGTACTTGAGGGATCTGGGCCTTGAAGCAGTTCTTTGTTGAGAGATGCTCCCTTGAAAGAGGCTGTACAATCGAATACCACTCTTATGGTCTTCTTTTGAGGGTGGTAAACTCCATAATCTGGTATATACCATACCTTTCCATTTCCGGTATAACTGATCATCAGGTACTCTCTCTGCATGTCCTTTGTGGAATACTTTGTTCAGAAAGGTTCTGTAGTCCTGAAAGAACACTTTGTCTTTTTTTAAATTTCTTTAAAAGATGATTAGCTTGTTGTTCAGCTAATAGGCGATTCTGAGGAATACTGATTGTCTCTTTTCTAAATGGTAGGTTGAGATAGTAGTGTCCATCCTTGAGCACTGCAGAGCTCGATGCCATTTTCAAGAATTGCTGATCATCCACTGACAGCTCCCGTTTTTCGTTAAGGCACTGTTCAGGAAAATCATTTCTATATTGTTTTAAAAGTAGGTGTTCAAGACTTGCGACTGATACACTGTTAACTGTTACACTGGATTTCCACTGGATGCGGAACGGCTGCGAAACTGCTCAGCTGCGGAACGGTTGCGTGCTGAGCCGTCCGTCAATACCCACCAGGGGCCTCATTTATAAAACTTTGCGTACGATTTGCGTCCGAAGTGGGGTATGGACGAATCGTAGGGTGTACGTATGGACAAAAATATTTGGATTTATTAAACCGTGCGCACGCACGTCCTACGCCGTTTTCGCTTTATAAATCCCAATGAACTCTAAATGTGGTGCAGCTTTTGCGGCTTCATATCACGCCCATATTTGCCCATAAATAGTCAAAGAAACTCCCTAAGTTAATATTCATTGATTGAAACGTCATGACAAACTGGGAGGAAAACCGGAAAAGTAACATTATTCAATGTGAAGTTTCCTGCTGGAGAGGTCGGAAAGAGGAGAACATGCTGTTTGTAGGGCACAGTGTGGGCTTCACTAATACCAAAAGGCCGATTTATTGGCACAATGTTGCTGATAATGTGACACAATTTATTTGGACATTGTTCGAATTAAAATGTTTTCGTTATATGGAAGTATTTTTATTCTCACTCGGTGCACCGATTATTACATTTGGAAAACGGACAGTGATGCTGATTGCGCTTTTTTGTTTTCCTGTTCACCCGCAGTGAAAATTTATGTAATTATGAGACAAACCTATTATACCTACTAACACTGATATAACCCGGATAACGGTTTATTATACCAACTAACACGTCTGATATAACCCGGATAACCAAAGTGAACAATTAAAGTGGACAAAAAAGACTATATATCTATATGTATATATCTATATATATCTCCCCATCTAGATCTATCTATCTTCCCAGCTATCCGCTCTGTCAGACGGGGACATCGACCAGAATATCAGTTTTATACACAATTTAATTCTGTTCGCCATATTATTTATGAGGATGAATTGCACAACATGACAATATAATTACAAAACATATTTGAGTTATTTTTTGGAAATATATATTTATTTTAATTGACGTTTTATCTTGTTTTATATATTTGATTTGTTTATGCAGATCGATCAAACAGTTGTTTGTGTAAGCTGTTAATTGTAAGAATGGCTTTGTAAATTCTTCATATTATTAATGGCAGGTCATATTTTTATTTATTTTACACAATGTTCTGCATTTTCACACAGTTTCATGTATTTCATCCATCTGCCGACGGTGTCGCCACTTCACATTTCATCCGTTTCTGTGCGTATGCATGGGTCCCAGCTTGCGTGGAGGACCGCACATTTTCACGTCAGGTTTGCTTTTTATAAATCCCAACTATTGCGTAGAGAGCAGCGTATGCATTATTTTGTGCGTACGCAGCGTTTATAAATGAGGTCCCAGGTCCGGATTTGTGGTGGAACGCCTGCGGCCAGCCGACCATGATATCTCGCGAATTAACGTATGTTCGTGCGATATAACAGGATGTCGTTTCTATAAACAGAACCACAAAACCAACAACAGTTTCGATCCAGAGGAGTAGAGGGGAAACAACTCTGTGCTTATAATCAGTGGTTAAAGTGGGATTTTGTGTAGATGCAAGAGGGAAAAATGACTCACCGTGGGACAACATAATGAGTATTGTGGTATTGCAATACTTTTTGGGACAAGAGTGTGACAGTGGCACCAAGTATCACAATACTTATTTATTAGATATTTTAATGGTTTTTGTTTTGTCTATGTACATCTACACTGATATGATGATGATACTACAGTAAAATTGCTGAACTCCACAATATGGAAAACAACCTTGTCCAAAACTGACAAAAATTTAAGACACCAAAATGGCTGAAGGCATAACAGAAATAAATCACAACCTAGATCACGGGTGGCCAACCAGTCAGACACTAAGAGACACATTTTTTACTGTGTTACCGCAAAGAGACACATCTTGCACGTGGACAAAAATAATATTCAGAAAACAAAAGCTTAAAAACTATTTCAAAAGACATATTGTAGAAGCTGGCAGAGGGAATTGAACCCCAACCTCTGGTCCTTCAGCCAAGCGCACTGACCACTGCACCAAACAAGTGGCTGGGCTATTTGCCCAGTCCCAGAATATGACATAATTATGTCTGTAAGCGTGTTAGTGAAGGCGGGGCCATGGGATGATATTACGTTTTGATTGGTGGTTAAGCGTGTTTGTGAAGGCGGGGCCACGGGGTGATATTACGTTTTCATTGCGGAAAAACTAATTCAAAAGGAACACCAGTCATGCTGCATTTTGACAGTGAACGCGATTTTTTTTAACAATAGCCTTCCATCACTCTATCATTGATATTAATAAATCTATTTATTTAATAATTTAACTGAGGTGCCGGAGCACAGTTCCGGACCGTTCCGGCCCACTTTAACCCCTGCTTATAATTATATAGCCTATTCAACTTCAAATTACACTTGTTTACTTCGGGTTCCTTTTTTATTGTGTTTGGAATGTAGTAGGCTGTGTAAATAAAGTTAACTACTTGTTCTACTTGTTGGCATGTCTCCGCCCATTATGATGTTTTCAAGGTGTAGCGCAGGGAAATATGACCTGCCGAGCACGAGATCTCGCGAATTAACGTATGTTCGTGCGATATAACAGGATGGATTGCTGCCGAGCTCTGCGTCCTCCGGCAAAAATAGAAGCTGTGCGGATCAGTTTCGAAGGGATGCGCCTGGCGGAACTGCGACGCAGTCGTTCCGCAGCCGTTACGCAGTCGGTGGAAATCGACACAATAACTTTAATGGAAACCGGATGACTCCGCCGACGTTTTGGAGCAGTTCCGCAGCCGTTCTGCATCCAGTGGAAATTAGGGGTTACACATGGCATCTTGCTTCTATCTTCACAGACGCTGCTGCCAAGCGGGCCATTTATTACCCATCCAAGGGCTGTTTTAACTGCATACGATCATACGGCATTTTTTTCACTTTTAATCACTTTCCATGGTTCCAGTGCTTTGGGTGCATTTACTCCAATAAGCAGTCCCACATCAGCATTTATGTTGTTCAGGTTAACTTCGCTCAGGTACGGCCATTTCACTTTGTCGGTTGTTAAAGGAATGTTGTCTTTACTAACTGGAATCTCAGCCTGTGTGTAAACCTCTGGAAGAGTAATAAAGCTTGTGGGGTCTCGCAAGTCCATTGATTGAGTAGCTATTCATTTGTTTCTCCTGACCTGACTTTTAACAGGACATGCGTTTTCCTTCTCCTAATGTTTAGGTCTGACATCAACCTTTCTGTACAGAATGTCGCAGAGCTCCCGGGGTCCAGGAATGCATAGTTCTGAATAACTTTGCTACCCTTTTCATGTCTTATTTGTACAGGCAAGATGGCAAGGCTGCAATCCCTGCAGCTGGCTCCAGTGCGGTCACCACAGGAAAGAGAAACCATACCATTGCACACTGTCTCCTCAGCTGATGTGCTGGGAGAGCCCACACGGTCTTCAGTCATGATATGCAGTAAACTTGGATGCCTTTTCTTGCATACATTACAGCACAATATGTTTGCACAATCCCTGCTCACGTGACCTCTAGTCAAGCATCCAAAACTGTAGGAAAAGCCTCTTGCTCCTTGTGGGGTATTGATATCAACTTTTGACACTGCTCAAGTCCATGGTCTTCAAAACAAAACATGCATGGCTTATACATTGCACCTTTGGAAGCAACATGTTGACGTCTGTCGAATTGGCTTGCCTTTTCCTTTTCAGGGTTACCGATTACAGTAGACACAACAGTGGCAAAGCTACTGCTTTTGTTCCATGATTTAGGTTTCGGATCCTAGACTTGTGGGTTTGTAGTCTTGTTTCCGACAACGAGATCCTGAATATCTCCAAAAACTGGGTCTGAAGCTATTCTAGCCTGATGAAGGTTCCCAGGTCAGAGAAGCATGCTCTTTGCTTGGTTCTTTCATGTAGGTCACAAGCATCAGACCTCCATCGGTCTCGAAGTTTGAAGGGTCATTTTGAAACTATTACACATGTTTGAAGGAATGTTCATTTCCACCATGTAATCCATGCTCTGGAAAACATTGAGACATCCTCTCAAGAATAACGCGTAGGCATGCTACGCCTTTCCATCTTCCGGCTTCATGCATGACCAGTTAAGAGCTTTGTTCATGTAAGCATTAGTGATGATCATTTCGTTTCCAAAATGCTGCTTTAACACTAAAAGTGCTAACAGCCCACGCCCGCGGGCGTTGCAGTTAGTATTTAAAATAAATATATAGTGCTGAAAAGCTACAGCCTCGTCCTTCCATGACTTTTCCTAAATACGTGCATTTTACCTTGTCCCGTTTTCAGAATTGCAAAATCACAAACCGAACACTATATAAAACTAATATTTAATACATGTTTTTTGATACCTAAACTGCCTTCCTGTCGCCATAATCCCACGCCGCTGGGCATTGGTACCCAAGAGGCGCTAATTGCGGTACCCAGACACCGATCACACCTCACTGGGCTTATGACGTCAATGGTTGAATGGGCCATACGCAGACAAAAGACGGATAGATACACACAGACAATAGACTGGCTTGGTTGAATTTGAATGAACTAGAAAAAAGAGGTAAGTTTATAAAGAAATATGTTTCACTAAATAAACAGAACAAATTCATCCAATCACATCTATGTATGCAGCCCATTCATTACATTTTTAGTTATTTATCAGTTCTATGTGTCATGCGCCTATTGCACTCAATAATGGTCCGATCTATATGAAACTGGACTGGTTTTGCTCCGATCTATATGAAACTGGACGCGTGTTGGTCTGATCTATATGAAACTGGACGTGTTTTGGTCCGATCTATGAAACTGGACTCGTTTTGGTCTGAGCTATATAAAACTGAACTCGTTTTGGTCCGATCTATATGAAACTGGACGCGTTTTGGTCCGATCTATATGAAACTGGATATATGTAGCCTAACAGATTAGTTTGCTGCTGTTTCATGTGCACTCATAACAACACTAATGAACACTGTCCACAGTGCAACCGGTTAGTTTGCGTGTCCTGCTCAGGCAGACAAAAGACTGCGAGATACACATAGACAATTGATTGGCTTGGTTGAATTTGAATAAGCTAAAAAGAAGAGGTACGTTTATAAAAAAATATGTTTTACTAAATAAACAGAATGAAAATATTCAACGAAATAGATGTATCTCCCGGGTAACAGCAGAATAGCCGACCGTGGCCAATATACAAACTGTGTTGTAAAATAAGTGTTTCATTGTCTACAGTGCCTTAGTTACTGGACTGTAATTACTATAATACATTTTACAAATAAAAACGATCGAATTATACACTGTAGCCTAATGTTTTTATTTCAAGAGTCTGTGTTGCAATATATACGGCCAATCACGCGCAAATAATTTTATTGCATATCGCTTGTGATCTAAAATGTTTCAGCATTTACTACATCAAAATAGGACATACAGATTGATGGATTTTCATTTATTCGATTTTTAGAAATTTAAATGTCATAGCTTGTGCATTTTAAAATCATGGTTTTATATTAGTATTCTATGGTTAGGCCTACATAAGACAATAAATACATACTATTTTATTAAAATGTTTTACTTCATAATTCATCGTAATTAATTTCATTTAGGATGATAACACAGTAGATGATCTGATGCTGTCGATGGCAGTTTACTCGGTGAATGGATGGTGAAGCTGCGGAGGAGAATGTAGGTGCTAATTGGGATGATCCGTATGCTAATGACGCCAGCGGGCGCGGGGCTCTGGCGATTTAAGGAGTGAAAACAGCTCTGGCGCTTCTAGTGTTAATACAGTTAGTCTAAACCACCTATTCTTAACCATAGGGCCTCCTGAAGGGCCGCAAATGTTTTTACGTTTTTCACCTCTGGGCCACGAGGGCCGCGGGACCAAACAAGTTATCACTTTGGCTAAGCCCCGCCCCCCTTAGTTACTGTTGCTACGTCCGACTTCATATGGGCTCTGGTTTGGTATCAACATTATGCTGTGACAGCTCTTCCTGCTGAAATTGTATCAAACTTTTATAAAGCAGCAAATAAAGTGTCCGATAGAATTAGGCAAGAGGGGCTGCAATATGCGTTTGAAGGCTATATTCAAGACATACAGGTGAAACAAGGCATCCAAAGAGGTAAACGCATACCGGTCACAGTGAAAAAATTAACCACCGCATATCCTATTAATTGAGACGGAGGCTGGGACTAACAATATCAAGGCGCAACACTGTTCATGCAAAGCTGGGTAGGTCTCTATTCACTCATATAATCGTTATTACAAAGCAAACTGACTACACAAGTATAACAACGTTTAACTATATTTTTGATAAAACTACGACGGTAATAGCCTGCCGAGAACAGAAATATGAGACGCCCCATGTTAAAGTCAATGGAGCGCTGTGAAAAACTCCTCTGCCCGAGCTCATTCTTGGCTGTGCTGTGATTGGTCAATCTACATTCTAGGGTGTGGCTTAGCCAAAGGCGAATTAAAAGACAAACCATACATTTTTGGGAAAAAAATGGATTTTGGATATAGCGTTTCCGAAAAAAAAATAATATGGAATTACAGCGTTTCTAAAAGAATGACCACTGTTATCCATGACAGCGAATTACGTTACAATACCCCAGCACTTATCAAAGTCCGGACTCCGGACCCGGAGGGAATTCAATCCGGACCCGCCTCCATTTCGTATTTCAACAGCAGTAATTATGTGTAGGAAATTAAGTATGGATGAAGTATGGATTTCCTACTTTGATAAACGCATGCCTGTCAAAGTCATTTGTCTAGTGTTTCATCTCTTTGGAGATGGTCCGAAATAAAAGCGAAGGCGATATATTTAAAGTTTTCCTCTGTGATTCAGTTCATTCACGTTTTTAAAACTAATTAATTAATGAATTTATTTATGCATGTATTTTTGGAAATGCATTTTAAATTATTTCAACCAGGCAGTATGTTATCTTAACCCAACCAGTACACCACTCTGATTGGCTAAGGCAGCTCCGACCCAAGCAGTAAACGCCACTCTGATTGGCCGAGGCCAACGAAGAAGAAGAAGATAGATTGGCTG